TCATCAAACCCTACTAGTTGACTATACTGCTAGTCCGGTAGTACTATAAAAGTCTCGACGTCTCATCATTATTTTCATTTCGTTTTACCCTTCACTATCCCATATATATTATGAGTATAAAAATACATATATGGTTAAATAAAGTCAACTTGTATAATTTCATGTAACACAGAAGGTTTTAATCACATATAATAGGCACACATAGCACTTAATTATCTAAATACTTCATATTTATGTGTAAGATAAAAGTAACTATGTACTCACTTGATAAGAGTGGATGCCTCGGAATTTGGGCAGAACTTCGCTTTGGTACTTTAGCCTTTCTTCTGACATGACCTAGATTCATATCAGTAAGTCTTAACATAATATTCATAGCGACTAATGATAGTCTAGATTCATCACTAATCCCAATGTCTACATCAAGATCTATCAATTAAGGAACAATCAGGTAGGATCATATCGGAGGTAGGGTTCGTTTGGTATACAGAGTATATTGTTTGGAAATCCCCCTTTAAACACCTTACTAAATCCAGCCTAGACATCATCCCAATAAGTAGATCAATCAGTATAATGACTTTCATCCCAATAAGTAGATCAATCAGTATAATGAGTTGGAATCACTGATAAATGTTATTATAGGTTCATAATAACGACTATGACTATAATTAAAATTCACACTTAAATAAAATAAATGTAGCTTAACTTACAGAGCTTTTTTGATGAAAACCGGGAATTAAGCGGGCATAACTCTAACCCATGAGCTTCTAATCGCCGACTATCTGACACCGTAGGGCTTCGCCGAAGTGGTCGGGAACTTGGGAGTAAAAGGGCTTAAGGGTGGAAAGTGTTCCAGAGAGAATCGAAGGTAATGAGTGAAGAAATGAGCTGAACATCGCAGAATTTATAGGGCCGAAAAGCAGTGCGCGCCGCACACTTTGTTGTGGCACGCCGCGCAAATTGTCAGGGCGCTAACATGGCGTTGTCTGGGTGGCGACACGTGTCGGAAATCTGGTGGATGTCAGATGCGCGCCGCGCACCTTGTCTGTTCGCGCGACTGCGCACGAATTTTATAACATCTTTAAAAAATCATATATTCTTCATACGATCTCCGTTTTCGACGCATTTTATATCCACGTGTAGCTATCGACGAGATCTACAACTCTCATTTAGACTCCGTTGGCTAATTTTGACTTTATTTTTAAAGTTATATTTTTAATAGGCTTAAACTGTTAAAGTCCGTTAAAAATTTATAACTCTCTCGTACGATATCCGTTCTCGACTGTCTTTATATCGACGAATAGATATGGACGAGATCTTCAAATCTCGTTTGGATTGTTTCGGCTAAAAATTGACCGATCTAAAATTCGATTTTGTATTAACACAGCTGCACTGAAACTTTGAAAAATCATATCTTCCTCTCATGAAGTTAGATTTGGACGTTCTTTATATGCACGCTCTCGGTTATATGACTACTATGAATTTCGTTTACATCACTTAGGCTAATAAGTAATCCATCAAAAATCCACTTTTTACGATACGCAGAGTCGTGTTGGTTTAATCGCGAAACTTCGAAGAAACATAACTTCTTCATACGAAGTCAGATTTCAACGTTTTTTATATGTATGTAATTCATGTCACATATATTATAACTTCGTTTAAGGTTCTTTATCCTAAATAACCTTCTATTAAAATATCGTTTTTATTGCTTATTATTTCTTAGTCGTCTAACCCGAATATGTGGGTGTTACACTATGTCAGTCAAGTGTGATTCTTCCTTTCTGACACCCTATTTTGTTATGGGGTGTTTGGACAAGTTAATTCGCTTCTTATATTATATGCCTTGAGATACTTAGTAAACTCTGAGGCTAAGTACTTCCCACCGTTATCAGATCATGAAGCCAAAACCTTAGTGTTATCTCTCTAAAAGTTCTAGCCTTTGTCACATTCTTGTTGTGTACAAGTTGCAGGAAACTGCCAATGTGAGTTATAGGAGTTTCGAATTATCTGCAATCACCACAACTCTGCTGCCACCATACTTTGTTGTATTTTGTAGTTTTTCCTTATCTCCTGTCATATGATTCGAGCACCCAGAGTCTATGATCCATTCATCAAGTTTATTACAACTATTTTCAAAAGTAGCAATAAGAGCCAAGATGGTTTATTCTTTAACAAAGAATGCTTCAGCATCCTAAGCTTCTTCGTCTTGTGTTGCAATTGCATTACTTTCCTCTGTAGGTTCTTTTTGACAATTACGAGCCATATGACCCCTAAACCCACAATTGTAACACTTGAATGGAAAGCGTTTACCAGATTGATGATTTTTCTTTTCTTTTGACCCATCTGCCTTTCTTTTCACCTTGTAAACCCATTTACACGAAATGGGCTTTAGATATTTTGGCTTTGGAACCAATTCCCAGGTCTGATTCTTCATTAGGGCTGTAATCTCTTCTTTTATTATTACAATTCACTCTGGTACATCACATGCTTGGTCATACGAGTTGGGTTCTTGTAGTTCACTTACTATGGTTGCGTTTGCATATCTTGGGTTAGGCTTCTTTAACGTACTGGAGCGTCTTACTCCCGATGCTTCAACATTATAACCATCGGAGTCAACTTGGTGAAATACACCGGATTGCCATGGTTGTTGAACTTGGATTTCAACATTTTCATCTTCAATAACAACTTCATGTTCATTAAGGTTAAGGTTAACCCTTGATGATTCAAGTTCTTCTTTAAGTGTTTTGGAGTCAGGTAACACTTCACGACTGGATGACCACTAAGAAGACGTTTCATCGAACACAACATCCTTTCTCAGACTCACGATTCCTCTTCTTTGTTTCGTGGTTTTTAGTTTTGTTGAAATTCCGTTTGTGATTCTGGTTGGAATTTGAACGAAACTTTCCTTTGCCCTTACCCGCAAACATGGCTTCTTCTTCACTTTTCAGAGAAACATTGCCTATCTGTTTTGCTAGAGATTCTTGGCCTGCCAACAAGTTTTCAAACTCAACCAAAGACGGCTGATTCGGTTAGCCTTGAAATGCAACTACAAAACTTCTGAATTCAGTTTTTAGTCCATGGATAATGATTCTTTTGATTCTATATTCTCCAATTTGGGCCTGAGAATCAAGTTCTGCAATCTCTTGGCATAGTAATTTTACTTAATGAAAATACTGAGGAATTGACAGGTCATGTTGTGCAATTGAGAGAAGTTCATTTTCAAGGAGTTGTAGTTTTGCATCGTTTTTCTTTGAGAAAAGTTCTTTCAAAGTATCACATGCTTCCTTGGGGGTTACTACATCTCGTATGTGCTCTATTACATCGTCTTCTACAGTTGTTTTCAGAATAAACATTGCCTTACCTGCTTTAATCTTCCACTTCCTTAAAACCCCAATATTGTCTTCGACTTCTGGTTGTCCTATCTCAACACCATTTACAACCTCCCAGAGATCTTGTCCCTGCATGTACGAAGATATACAAGTGGACCAGGTGTTATAATTATGATTGTTGAGTTTCTTGACACCACCAACAACTTGAAGTTTAACCATGGGTTAGGCACTGATACTGGTTTCCTGCAACTTGTAGATAACAAGAATGTGACAAAGGCTAGAACTTTTAGAAAGAGAATACAAAGATTTTGGCTTCACGTGATTGCTTAATTAAAAAAAAAAAGGAAAACTGAAAAGCTAGATGCCATAAAGGCTTACATCAAAAACAAAAATACATGGGAAATAAACTACCCACTACATAGACCTTGGACCACTAACTTAGAGAACTGCGAATTCAAATAATGGCTGGTGATCGCTATTATATTTTTAACTGCGATAACTACATATGTCTCATGGTTTGAATGTTTATAGCATCCTTTTGCATGACACATTAGCGATGTCACGTATTGTTGTTAACAAGATTGTAGAGCGTATGCACACCCACATTAATTGTCGAATGATTTTTATTGGAGGTAGTATTTGGACTTGCTATGCCAAAAAGTTTTTCGTCTCTGTTGATGGAGACTTGGGAGTTTTGCAAGTGTAGAATTGTTTCTTTTTAGGGATTAACTTTACTTTGTAAAGGTTTTCTGTTATTGATTTAATGACACTTAAAACATGTTATTTCAAATGTTCGAATAATTTGACATTTTTCTCTGTGTAACATGCATTTTACCGGTTTCATTGCTAACCTGATACATACCATAAATGAGCCGATGAGATTGAGATCAAGTTTTACGGTAAACGTAGCATTATAAAACTCATTGTATCCATCTTACCAGTTCATTTAATGACTAGGTGTCCAGGTCAGCAATGAAACCAATAAAATGTATGTTACATCAAGAAAATGGCGAAATCATCACTTAATTTTAGTTTGAGACTTATTCGTAACTTATGGTAAAATAATAAGACTTTATTGGAACCAGGTCAGTAATGAAATCGGTAAACCGGGAAAAATGGGTCAAAATATTCATTTTGTACCGGTAATTGATGCTTACATAAACAAATTTTAGTTTGAGACTTTTTCGTAAATTAGTGTAAAGTAGTTGGACTTTTCTGGAGATTTCCCTAAATTTATCAAATAAAATGATTAAAATCCATACTAATACAAACAAAATAACTTGCTAAAATCACCTAGTGTAAATCCAACTTTTTAAATAATCCTATTTCAAGAAGAATGGCAGTAAACTTTTAAACCATGTGAACAAAACAATAATAACCCACAAATTTCTCCATAAATAGACAATCACGACTTTGATCCTAGATCAGTAAATGTCTTTTCATTTATTTTTCGTGTGAATTCTTTTTTCTTAACAAAAATACTTGCAAAAGAATACCTCTTGCTTAAATTTATACACATGTTAACCTACAAATTATTTTCAAATCCAAGTGTACTGAATGTAAATTAATAATAAAAATTACTTGGAATCAGGAAAAAACTATGGGCAAATAGCATTCTTAGATGCTTAATTGATTAGTTATAGGATTCTTTAGCACATGAACAACTGAAAAGTCCCACGAGTGACCGAATTTATCCAATCATCATCATATAACAATTTCATAGAGCCACAGTTACAAGTTGCTATTATTATTCACATCATTGCTACGTATTTTGCCATATTCTAGGTGTAGAAACTTATTCTAAATTCTATAACAAATAACCAAATTGGACCCTTTTACAATATTTGGCAAAAGCAAGCGACTCAAAATAATAACTAGTAATACTTCTTGTACCTGAGTTCTGATACACAATTTGAAAGGGCTTCTTTCACCTGAAGATTACTGGAGTCCATGAGAAGTGCATCCTCATAAAGCCTTTTTGCCTGACTCAACAACTTAACTTTCTCTCTGAAATTTCTTGTCTTTAAGTGAGATCTTTGTTGTAATGCCACACCCCATCTAAAAAGAGCTGCAAACACATAACAAGTTTGAGGGCATTCATGTCTTTTGCACAAATAACAGATATCATAAACAAAAAGCTGCAACTTTTGCACAAACACAGTATGTTACCATCTGGTGTGTGAGAATTGCTTTTGGACATCATTGCATCAAATTTGTCAATGGCAGCCATGTAAATCTTATCAGCATCTAAAGCCGCTTCCTGAATTCACAACATTAAAAATTTATTTTATTTTATTTTATTTAAAAATAAAACATTTTATTTTTTTAAGTCTTACAGGTCCGATATCTGCTATCAATTGAGCTCTAAAGGAAAGAGCAAGACCCCAGTTATACAATGCCCTCATATCATTCCCATCAATTGATAATGCCAGCCTGTACTTCCTTCCAGCTTTAACTAAAAGTTCTTCACACTCTTCACACACATTAACAAGATAATCAACAAATTCTTCTCTATCAACAAATTCTTCACACTCTTCACTTTGTGAAAGTAGAGCTCTTAATTTTCGGCTCACTTTTAGCTTCAATTCTCCATGAAGAAGGTAAGTGTTTCCCAATTGTCCAACAGCTAATAAACTCATGGGCTTCATTTCTATGGCTTTACATAACAATTCAGTCGATTTATACAACATGCTTTCTGCATCTTCTTCAATCCCTCTATGTGTTAACAATTCTCTCGCTTGTTTTACAAGTGCATTCGCCTCAGTTACATAATCATTAAAAAGCATATCATCAGATATCTCTGAAGATGAAGATGGAGATGAATTGTAGGCTTCTTTTTCATCCAAATTATCATAAAGTATATTATTTCCATTATTGTTCTTATACCTCCCGTGTTCTTGCTGGAAAAACTCCTCTGAATCAAGAAAATTCCTGTTCTTCATAGATGATCGCGTATCATTATCCTTATTCATGTAATCTTCTCTCTCAAACACTTGTTTATCAGTTGTTTCCATCTCCACTAAAGTCATTCTACCCATTGTTTTTCTTCTGTATGTTTCTTTAACCCTAAAATCACCATCATTATATGTGATTTTATCATCACTGGCTACAGATTTCATAGTCTTGTCTTCAACAACTGGATCCAGGATGTTTGGTTGACTATTCTTAACGCTATCTTTGACTTTAGCAGGTTTTGAACCAAAAGATTTTTCTCGAACACCATTAATGAACTGTGAGATATTGAACCCTTTCCCCTCCACCTCTTTCTTCCTATCACTAGGTTTCTGATTCGAAGCTTTAGAAGCATCATTGGTGTCAGCCACCATGCTATCTGTACAACCTTCGATCATAGTTTTAGCTTGCAAGAGAGCTTGTTCAATTGATTCTACTCCCTCAATGTAATTAAGTAAATCACCTTTACTTATTCTATTAGAATCAACATCTTTTCTCATGCTATTCTTTAAATTCATAATGTTTATATCGAAACCATTTAATAGATCCACCAGACTCCTCAAATTTTCAGCTGAAGCCATGAATTCATCATCTTTGATTCGTTTCTTCTTGTTTTTATTACCCCTAATACTCCCGAATAAACCCATAACATCACTGGAATCTCCCCCATTCACAATCCCAAATGAAAACCCGACGGCAAAAACAAGAAAACACGCTGGGAAAACAACAATAGATGATATCCTAACCCTAGAAACAGCTAGAGCACACACGAAACCTAATAGATATACAAATGCGTATCTTTTTTCAGTGATTCCGAGTGAATTCAATAACCTGCTGAGTTGATTCGACTCACCTGAATCGCCGACGGAGCTTAGATCCGCCCAACCACCGTAGTCGGCTGGATGTGAACATAACGTTGTTATTTTATAACTCGGAAGAGGTTTTGTGTTTGGAAAGTTCGTAAAGGAGCGATGCCTGCGAGGAAGTGATGAGAATTTGGAGTCAGAGATGATGAACTGGGGACTTGATATAGCATTTGAAATCAGGGTCTTCATCGTCGAGAGTGAATAAAGTCGCCGGAGAAGAAATCGACGGATAAATATTACATGGTCGCTAACCTCTTGAGAATTTGCAGCACTTCCTTGTTGATAATCACTGAAAATGTAAGATTTCTGAAATTAGGCAGCAAAATAACTAATGGCTAAAATCTGCACTGGTTGGTATTGAAAATGTAAGATTCTGAATCCTAGGGTTCCACTTGCAAATTACTAGCTTTCTTAAGGTAATTTCGCACTCTATATAAATTAAACTAGGTTAATACCGGTGGAAACCACGGTTTAAGAAAAAAAAACATTATTTATAATTGGAAAATACTAAGTTGTAATAGTTAAAAAAAGAAAGTAAACTAAATTATTAATTTCAAACAAAAAAAAAAGAAATAACAGAAACATAGATTACATTAAAGTTACTTGAAGATAAAGTATGTGAACATAACAGCCATACAAGTATAAAAATGGTAAAACAAATGTTAAGAAAAGTTCATTTCATGATTTTGACATGACAAATATGTATATATCTATTATCTACATCATTTTAATAAACATTTAAAATTAAAAGTTACTTTGTGGTTTCATTAGAACAATAACCATATTTTAAAGTTCTAATGAAAATCTGTCAAAATTAAGTTGCCAAGGAAGAGCTACTTGTGCTCATTTTAGAGAAAAGTATGGTTATAGAATTCTGGCATTATGTATGTACTTTTCATGTATTGAACATTCTTCATATTTATCTTTGTGATATTTTCTCATTATTTTTATATGTTACAGGTCATTGTAGAGTAGGCTAAAAGAAGAGATATACAAATATAGAAAGGTAATAGTTATAATTACGTGGTTTTAATTATGAGTCTCTTGATATAATTTATAACCGTACATAGATGGTCCCTGTGAAAAAAGTTAAAAGAAAATGTCTTTGAAATATGAAAACATAAATGTTCCATGTTTAAAATAATCAACATAAATATTATAAATAATAGACAATAAGAACACAACACATAGAAGTTGGTTTCTATTAAATGTAATTATTCAAATCTTGTATCTAGCTTACATAAATGGTCACTACATTTTAAAATTTGAAGGAATGCTCCCTGTCAATACAAATATTCAAACTATAGTGAATTACACAAAGTATTTGATAATATATTTTCAAAATTGGTCCATATAAAGATAAATACTCATAAATGGACCCTATTAAAATAAATTTACACCATGATTCTGTGTGATATCTCTTATAAAGAGGAATGTTCCTTTTTAAAAAATATCATATTTATGATATTTAGAGGTTATATAGAAACCAATGAAAGTACATTGTCATTAAAGGAATGTTCCATTAATAAAAAAATTAACCAGAATAATTAAATTTATGTAAGGACATTGGTATTAAGAATAAAACCAATAAACTATATGTTAAAAGTTCTGATCCATGTTTAAAAAAATTAACAAAAATGGCCCCTATGTGAAAAAAAAACACATAAATATTCCGTGTATAAAAATTAACAGAAATAGTCAAAAAAATTTGATAAAATAGCAATGAATGGTCTGTGTTTAAAAATATTAACTTTTAAAAGTAATTCTTAAAGAAAGTTTACTTATGTATTAGTTGGTACTTGTTTGAAGCAACTAATTCACATGTTGTAGAAAAGTCCCTAGAAAAAAAATACACGAATAGTCAATATATAAAAAATATATTTAATTAGCATAATAGAAATGTAATTACATTTCGTTGTGTATAATAGAGATGCATTAATAAATTAATATAAAAAATATTTGAAAAGATAAACCGAAGTAGTCACAAAATTTAAAAATAACAATTAATTGTCTTTGTTTAGAAAAATGATTTAATGGTCGTTGTATGAACAAAATCAACATAAATGGTCCATGTATACAAAAATTAACAAAAAATGGTCCCTTTATAAAAAAATTGTTGAGAAATAGTTTCATTCATACAAGGAAATTGACAGAATGGTCTTTGTGTAATCTATTAAACAAAAAAACATTTTAAAGTACAATGGTATAATCATAGATTTAAATGGTTTAAAATGAAAGAAAGTAGGATTCATCAATATGATGAAAAAATTATCAAGTAAACAGAAAAAAAGTTTCAAAGTATATTGCCATTAAAGGGAATGTTCCCTTCTAAAAAATAACATAATGATGATATTTATTGGTTACAGGGAAACCAATGAAAGTAAAATGTTGTAATATTAAGTAGTTTTTTTAGTTTAAGAGGAATACGAACAAAGTTTTCATTTTTTTAATACGAATTAGATAAAGCACAAATATGAACCGATTTAAAGACTATAGAGTAAATAATAACTAACCTTCAATAACTTTGATGTTTTTTTATTTGGAGTACAAGATGATATAGTGGAGGGAAACTTTTTCTCGAGATGTAAACGGTGTATACAAAGAGAACGACAATTATATTTATAAGAGATAGAGTATGTAAAAGGTAATGATTAAGGATTTCAAAATTTAAATCCCTAATTCCATGATATAAAAATCCCTAAAATTGTCTTATAATAAGTTGAAATAATTGACAAATTTCCGAAAATACTGTTATCAAATGCCGAATGTATAGAGATTTTAAATTAATAATGGTTGGGGGTTTCAATGACTCATCGATCGATTTTTAATATTGAACAGGTATAGAATGGTAAATACCATTTGACAGGATATATGAAGGTAAATATTCTGGTAAAGTTGAAATAATTAGTCTTCACGTCTTTGTAAGCGATTTTTAATTTTAAACCATTTAAATCATTATATTGTGTTAAATTTAGTAATAAGTTGAATTATTTTTTTTCCATAATTATAGCAGGAGGTATAGATCAATAGATTTAGTTTATGATTACGTACTATTTTTATTTAGATAAAGATCTTAAATTTTAAAAACACAACATGATAATGGTAATGATTTAAATGTTTGTTGCATTAAGTCAGGAAGTAGGAAATGTATGGAATGGCATATGGACGTTTTATGTATCAAAGGGAATTTATGGAAATCTAAGATTGGGCGGGAAAAAAGCTTGAGGGAGCCAGCATGAGAAGCCACGTGGCAAAAGGAGTACTCTTTTATTAGAGTAGGGATGTCAAGAGAAGACCTTAAATTTGGTTTTAGGGTTTATGTTTTGTTAAAAAAACTAGGAGAAGTTCTAAATTTTTGGTCTAGTTTAAGTTTTAATCCTAAATTTATTTATTTTTTACGCAAAAGTCCTAAAAACCGACAAAAGTTTTCATTTTGACCGATTGGAAACCGGTAACAAATTAATTTAAAATTATTTCGTAAATTGGTCCAAAATAAAATCATTTTGCGAGTTTTGGTCCTTACAAAATATTTGAAAGGACTTTAATATACTTACAATTTGTTTTTTTCCAATTTTTTAAATTGTTTTAACACTTAAACTATTTAGAAATTAAAGGGTCTCTCTCTCTCTCTCTCTCTCTCTCTCTCTCTCTCTCTCTCTCTCTCTCTCTCCTACGTTCAATGTTACAAGAAATAAGATCAACATGGACCTTCACATAGATTTGCAAAATCGAAAAACCTTTCCTTTTATTGATTTTGTTCAATTTACGTGTTTATATATATATATATATATATATCGACAATTACAGAAAGAACATTAAACAATGATTTCAAAAATGAATAATGGTTTTTACAAAGAAAAATGATTCCATGAAGAACTAAAACAAAAAAACACAACTCATTTTTTAACTTTCTAAATCAATCATTGAATCCAAATCTCCTCACTTCTTTCTCTTCACGACATTATGACCACAATCCTTATCACCACCCAACACCCATAATAATTGGTGAGATCCATTTACTTTCGAAACTTTACACATCAAAAACTTGCAATTGGTTGTACCATGTGTTTGCTACTGAAGTGGTCTATCTTTCCTCTACAATTCAACCTATGGATAAGGTTTTTCTTCTCTATAATTTAATCAAATCTACAATAAATAAATAAATGACAAATGAGAATATATGAAAGATGAGAGACTTTGGTGATGAGATTATGGTTGAGGGAGAGAAGGAAGATAGTGAGAGACCCAAAATAAAAACAAGGGGAGTGGGTGAAGGGAGAAGTGAGAGAGATGAAGTGACGGAAGTTGGTGGTCGGATAAGGTGACTGTGATAGAATGATCGGGGTAACGACAATGTGATCACCGGAGGGTGAGAGATGATTAAGCCATAATAATAAAGAGAAAAAACATGCTATGTATTTCAAAAAGAGAGGAAATGGTCGGAGTGTGGGTGGGATGGGATAGGTGTGGGATCCGTTTATTTTTGTATCAGGTTGGTAGGTTTACATCTTAGACCCTGTAAATACATTGTGGTTTTGCTATATTGAAACACCAAATAGGTTGAGATAGTAGGAGTTGTAAAGGCGGAAAAGAAAAGGTGAAAAACATGAATGAATAGTAGTTTGGGAAACGGAGGGGCAAATTCACAATAAGTTTAGAGGAAATAATTCACATTGAAAGAGAAGTATTGTGAAGTATGAGATATTAATGAAAAAGTCAAAACTAAAAATAAGTATGATTAAGACGGCTAACTAGTGACTTCCACATTATAAAATGAATCAACCATAAAGTTTTCTTTTACATTTGGTATTTGGTTATGGGCATGTCCCGTTTGCATAAAAAATTAAAACAAGTTGCAAATAAATAAACAAGTCATTTCGTATTGAAAGTTTAGACCCTAATATTACGTGTTTAAATTTTGTGTCGTGTTAACTCGTTTAATTAAATGGATTCCCCAAATGAGTTTACTTGTGTATCATGTCGATCGAGAATTTTCACTCTTACGATTCTGGTTGCAATGTTTGTAACAACATTATGTTCTTTTCGGAAAGTTTGCAACCAAAGTTTTGTTAAGAATTTGGTGGCAATATTTTTCTTGCAAAGGTTTAAACCTTGGCCCAAAGTTTTTTTTGGCCCATAGTTTAAATTCAGCTGCCCAATGTTTAAATTTTGTTATAATTTCCAGAATAATAAAACAAAATTATAGAAAAGTTAAAATAAATAAATAAATAAGTTGTTAATTATTTTATACAAAAAATCAACTATTAGTTTATTTAAGTTTTATTATTATTTATTACATTGGTAAAATAGGAAGTTCGCACTTACATTATTCGCAGTACTTGAATCATTATATGGGTTATAGCTAAACGTGCATATTTTATGTTCCAATCTGTCTGAGCATCAGGACGCGAGATAAACAAGCTAACATCACATACATGATGATACGTACCAATACCATGCATGTGAACCATCATTTACATATTAGATTATTAGGTTGTGTCTATCGACTCTAGCTAGCTAAAAGATTAGTTTATATTATAAGTAACAATAACCTACTTTTGTATATAATTTGCCTCTAATCTATCTAATATCAAGTAACTATAACTTAATAGGTATGTTTTATGTTTCCTCTAGATAATTGCTTTTTAGTGTTTGAACAAGTAGCTTTGTTGTACTGTAACCATCATCAGGGGGCGTCTTTGAGGTGTGCAAGGTGGGACGACCGCACATGAGCCATTTTATGGAGAGGGTTCAATTTTACATACAAT